CGGTTGAAGACAGCAAACCCCGCGTACTGCTAGAACGTCGGGCCACCACTGCTGGCCAACGTACCAAACCTAGAAAAGAACCACCACCTCAGCTTCAACGTTCTCAAACCGCTTTAGGTCACAGAAACGTGAATCTGTCTTATTCCTCGCATGCTGTAGCAGAAAAAGACGCTGAAAAAGCTGCTAGAAAACAAGCTAAATTGGAAGCAGAGGAATCAAAACCTCAGCGGACTAGACACATGTCGGCCTCTTCCGATTCTTCCACTGGGAGTACGTTTGGCATAGACCCATATAAACTTCGCAGGAGGGCATTTTTAGCCGGCGAAGAAGACTTCCAGTCAAAAATATTCAGCACTAAAAAAGATAATTTTCTAGAACGTGTTCAAAGAACGGTAGCGGAAAACCCCCCCAGCCGACCCCCAAGTCAAATGGATGCTGAACAGATTATAAAATCAATAGAAAAACCGAAAAATGATCGCAAAGAGAACAAAAGATCTGTTGTGGCTCCAAAGGCCATCAGACGCTTGATGGAACGTGATAATTCCTTCAGTTCCTTAGCAAACCTTTCAGAAGAAGAACAAGCAAGAAAATTAATGGAACAGTGGGAGGATCTTAAGAAATGTAGGTATCTGCGGATTCCACCAGCGATGGAGGATCTGTCGGGAGTGAACACGCTTGCTGTGGATAACCTTAAACTGCTGCATTCGCTCCGCTACGCGCCGCCCGACCAGTCGGGGTTCGGAGTGGCCGTGGTGGCGGACAGGCAGGTGCTTAGTAGAAATAACCTGAATGCCGTGCCCAGTTGAAATCTAAAGCAAAAGTCAGTGTTTGCTGTGTTTTGCGCTGAATTTTGAGATCCTGTTGAGCATTATAATGTTTGCATAGTTGCACATTCAAAGAAGCTTGATTAAACTAGATATTTTACTGCACACTCACTAAAGCGAGGGGGGTTACTTGGAATGATTTATTTCGTGCAGTCAATCCCTTATTATTACACTAGATCTGAATTTTGAGTTGGTTCTCACATATAACTGAAACAAGGGACCGGTTTTTCGATGATATCCCGTGGGTCGGTGGGTGGGGTGGACCCATTTGAATTCTGCTTGTCTACCGGGTGAAAAGTTTTTGTAACTCCCAAGCAGAATGTTTTCACTTTGATGCAACGTATATGAGCTACGCACCTAACTAATATAGATAAGAAACGAATATATAGTGTGCAATGATAAAAACATCCGAAATTTTGTAACGCTTTTTTCATTTTGTTTCAGTAGTTGAGTTATTAACTGACTGATTAATTGATCATGGATTATTGATAACTTCATTAATTTGTTCATCGGAATAGCTAAAGTAATAAGTGAAAGGGCAGTAGGTCTATTTGACCGGCTGCATGCTCACCGCTTTTGTGATATGAACGCTAACTGTATTATTTTTTACTGGAAACCATTCCTGGCTTCTGTGCAATGATATTTATGCCAACAAGTAAGGACGGTGCCTGATTGTAATTTTTTATTGTGTTTATGTAAATGCTCGCACGCAGTTTGTAATATGTTGTTTTTTTTTAATGATATATTAAATACTAATGCTTCACGTTTTGTGTGTGGTTTGTTTGCACGTTCAACAGCATACATGTGTCACGCTGTGTTTTATTTTTCATCACAGAATTTGCAGCGTACTTCACAACTTCTTCACGTATTACTGAATGTGTCTGCTGGTTAACATATCGGTATATAAGTAAATTTAGCTCTTCCTTTTATACTCACTTTAAACGCTAGAATAGAGAAAAATATTCTTCGCTACGTAGTTGCCAAGTAGGCCTATAATTGTTTTTCTCTCAGTTATTTTACGAGGACGAAAGGAGTTCAGAAAAGGATAAGCTGAATTTATTTCAGCTGAAGGTCATGACTTTTATCACAGTTGTAGTAATGTCGAACTTTCTTAACATCAAGCTCGCTCAGTGTGATTCTTTGTCCGATCATCACACCTTTAACACGAGGGATGATAGTGTCGCGGCCATTCTTTGAAAACGCTTTCTCGCTGTAATGCATCACGCTGCCGTAGTCATATGGAAGGTTCAGTCCGTCTGCTGTCTGGGGGTTGTATTTGTCAAAATTCATTGCGTGCCCTGAAATGGTAAGCAGTATGATTTAAACATACACAATGGTAAAATGCGTTTATAAGCATTTTGTATCAAGGGGCAATCGGCGTGTGGATACGCAGCATTGCGTTAGTTGCGACGACGAATGCAGTTTGCTCAACAGATGGTCCCACGTTTTCCATATTTCATTACATTTTTGAAAAATAGTTTCTTTGATATTCTTTGTGGCAAAATGACGATGTTCCTTGCAAATAAATAATATATAAATATGTCACACTGAAAAATAACGAAACGCTTCATTTTAAATGGCCGAAAATGGTCACCTGTCCTGAAGTATCGTGGGATACGCCGTTAAATTCAAAACAGAAAGTGCTGGAGAACTTCCTACCGTCCTCGATATTATCCCAGGCAATCTTTACCATGCCATCTCTGTCAGTACGGCTCTGTTCGTGTAGGAACCCCAGCACGTGCATCATCTCATGCATGACTTTCCCTGGAAGATACAGGCATGGAATCCCTAGGGATGTAACTTGTTTACCACCGTCACGGCCCAGCTTAGAATAACAGCTGAAATGATAGATGTCCAGGTCGATCAAATAGAATTCAGTGATATTCTACGCCTATTTGGTTAGTAAGATCGTACGTCGTGTATGTCCACGATATTATTTGGACAAAAAGTTAAAATTATATATTAGCTTTGCTTTGATATAACAAAAAACTGCTATGGTAAGACCATAAACAATATAGGCTACCCGAAATTTATTAAATAAGGAATCAAAGATAAATCCCAATACTCACCTTGGTTTCACAGGACTGATAAAAACGTAATCTTTCTCTTGGAATCTGGGAACAAAATGAATACAGGAACCCTTTTTATTCACGAGACGCTCAAACTCGCACAATGCGCGAGTGATAGCTTTACTCTGCCATGACACTAAAATTGAAAATAATAATAATAAAATAAAATAAATACCGCATAAATGAAATAAATTACAATTATAACAACTACACCAAAAACAATAATGATATACTAAGGACAGATTTACTGGAAGATTCATGCAATCATGGATAATGTAATGATGAATGATTTATTGTTATATTACTATGTGTAAAAAGAAATGTATCATATTATAGAATATCATATGTTTTCTTGCCATATTTCTGGTCAATCTCATAAAACACAGTTCCATTCTTCCATTTATTTGCAGACAAAATTACGTTACGCTTCTGAAAATTCAAAAAGAAAAGAGGCGAAAACGTGCAACGAGAATGGATGCCTAATACAAGCATCATCACAAATGAAACTTTTCTGCTCCACTAAAAATAAGAAATATGAAGCTACGGTTATGCTAATTCTTTTAGTCATGGTATCACATCACAAAATATATAACGAAAAAATGTCATTTAAAATATTTAAACGCAATTACGGCGAACGTGGAATTCGGATATACTGTACATGTATATTAAAATTAAGGAAAATAAGAAGGGAAGTAAGAAAGAAATATGACTGGGTAAACTACATACCAGACCGTCACTACTGATGTCAATGTCGCCCTCAAACTTCCCTAGGAGTAAAGATATAAGTCACGTTTATGACTATAATTTTTAAAGAATAAAATACATTCTTGTAAACTATTAATTTAATTTGTGTGTGTGTGTCTGATGCGTGTGTGGGGGGGGGTGGGGAGGGGGGTGAGAGAGAGAGAGAGAGAGAGCTCACCTGCTTCTTCAGGGTCTTTTGGGTTAGGACCTATGTGAAGAACAAAATAATTTTCGTTACGTAGATGAGATGAAATAAAGCGGAATCTCATTCTACTGTGCAACATTAAATAAATAAGCTCAAGATCCGTGTTGTGCAGTATTTTCAAATATGATATTTTTAATCTTAGAATCCAAGCTATAAACGAATGGTATGAAATGTCATAATCGTAGCACAGCACAGAAGTGACACTGTTTAACTAAGACATCGTTACTTCATTAGTATTTCGTGTTTAAAAGACATTCCAAATTTAAGCAGATAGTATACCTTCGTTTAGCAGGAAACCCTTGGCCACCTAGAATATAATGAGTATTTTTTATTATTACTCATTCGTCATTTTCATTACTCACTTCTAGTAAAGGATTCACTCTTCCTAATGCATGCATTAAAACGCTTATCAATTTATGTGTCAGCTTGAGGGTCTGTGCTCACTATGTGTTTGTTAAACATAAAAATCAAGTTATCGTTATAGGCAGCATATGCGTTGCTTTATACCTTGAATGTCTTTTATCATTTCAATCATAACATAATTAAAAACTCACCGTGCGATGAGACAGGTCTGAATCTAGCAACAGCGCGATCAACATAAGCCATCTCAGGGAAGATATGGCCAAAGTCACCCGCGCCATTTTTCGTGCCGTGTACACCGTGACCCTGTCCCCAGCATAGCACTTGCACGTTACGGGAAATTATCCAAGCATGCTCGGTGTGACTCTGATCTCAGGCTGAGAATCAAACAGATGTGTCTATCGTGTCATTTCAACTACAGCAAGTAGCCCAATCACTCAAGGCGTCTTCAATGCTATTCTCAGTAGTAGCCATTTGCTCGACTTAATATCAAAATGCGATATTGACATGATGTTTAAAACACTGATGCTTGAATGATGCGCAATGTAAACATAACTTGTACACAAAAAATGTTAAATTGTTATTGTTTATTTTATCATTTTCTTTTCAGGTGCAGTAATTCCGTTAACCACAAAGAGCTAGCTGGCCGGCTGAAAGGACAGTTCGTCTCATGATATTTTAGTAACTCTGTAACTCCTTCTAGTACAATGTTTTAATGTGCAATTCCAATATTGATGCTGTACACCGCTTGTGAGAGTCTTAGTTAGTAAACGATTGCAGTGAGTTGTATCATGAATGCTGAAAATAGATCTGTCTAAAGTTACAAAGGCGCTATGGAATACCGGATAGAGGCAGAAACATGATTTCAGAGTGAAGGGATTTGAAATATCCCCGGCAAAGACGGAGGAGTCGTTTAAAAAAATTGTTGTATCATAGAGATCTTAGTAAGGGAATTCGACCGAACCCTCAAACCCCTCTGAATATGTCCTGATTAAACTATCTTTAGATAGTGATTTGATGATATTGCTGAGTCAAGCATCTTGGCTTTTATTTTCTAAATAAATGATATTCATGTTCTATTTTATAATTATATTTTTTCTGTAATGAGAAGCCTTTTTATTGTGTGCGTTTATTGGGTCTTTAATAACGATTTAAACTTTAGATAATGTAGTAGAAAAGCTGTCTTCTCTTGTGCCAAACCTTTATATATAGTTTTTAAAAGATAGATTGTAGTATTATTGTTGTGTTTGAAAATCTTGTCCAGAGAATAATTTCATATTTGTTCAACCTCCAGATAACAATTTGGAGATTTCAAATGATGACAGAAGTCTAGAAAGGGGTGCTTTATATCTATATGGTCTGTGATCTGTGGAATATGTAAATAATTTTTTAAAATAAAAATATGTATTAACAGTATATTTTGTTAACACGGTGGTCTATGAGACAATATCTTTCGGTTAAATTAGTTTTGCTCTAGCAATATCAAATGCATTTTGATATAAGAGAGAAAACAGCATATTTTTCGATTTATTTTCTTTGAATGACTAATGACTTTCACAGCCTTTGCCAAAACTTTATTGAATGTTAAATTGGATTAAACTCGAGTTATTCATTATGGCGAGAGGGTAATATTAATGGATTTCCACCTTCATGTAAGTGACACGGAATGGTTTGATAAAAACGTTTTTGACAGTGAATCTGTGTACTTCAGAGAGTTCAATTTTCTTCTTTGGGGAATAAGATGCCGGGCACAGAGATCACGCCAAGAGCAGACGAAAAACTGCCCGTTACTTGGCCCTACTGAATCAAGAGGGCCCTAATTCTTTTCCTAATCTATGGTTACTTTTTCGAAAACGCGTTAATGCACCTTTACCCAAAATGTAACGACCTGTGCTTTGTTTCTGCATTTGATACGTTTGATGTTTACTACCACACATTCCCAGATTAGCGGCTGTTGATAATTTATCGGACTGA